CGCCTGCGCTCTTCACACGCCTCCTGCAGGGCATGTTTGGTAAAGTTCCTGCATGCAGGCTGCCGCCAAGCAGAGGGAGTAGCACAGCTAAGGAAAAGGGTAAAAAAAAATGGCGGACGGCGTTGTTTGGCGACCCCTGTGAAATGGTCGTGCGACCCCAAATGGGGTCGCGACCCACAGGTTGAGAACCGCTGCCCTATCTGGTCCGCCGGAACCTCCTCTACGGCCCTGATGTTTAGTAAATGTAGAATGGCGTCTGTCATGAGATCTCTCTTTGTTGGGTTTCTTAATAGTGGGCAAGAAACAAAACGATTTATAGATCTGGTTACAAACTCCAGGGACAGACCCTCCCTTATGGTGCTTAGCACCCGAGTCTGTGGTTGTGTTTACCCATTGTTGGATAAAAAGAGTGAGTCTGCCACCAATGGGAGAGGTCTTCCCCAAGTCACTTGGAGTGAAGAAAGGGATGGCCTCCTCTGCCTCGAAAGGAAGCCTTACCATGGGTTTGCTGTCGGATCGGTCCCTATAACTCATCTTGTCGAATGAACGGTCTGTTTTGGGAACAAAGGGCCGGGGTGTCTGTCCAGCCTCTGTGGGTGACCCCGTCCGAAAGGACTGAGGGCGAGCATAGGGAAGGAACCGCTTATTTGATCTCCTAATTAGATGAGAGATCACCTTCTGTTTTTGTTTATTCTCCACTAGATAGGGCGTTAGTGCCTCTCCAAATAGTCGACCTCCCTTAAATGGAGCCATGGCCACACGCTATTTGTGTTTACTTTCAGCCCTCCAGTTCTTAAGCCAAAGCAGTCGTCGCGTGACAACGCTGGAAGCCATCGCTCGGGCCGAATGTCTGACGGCGTACAAGGATACGCCCGCCATGTACTCTGAAGTCGCCACCAGTTTGGTCAGATCTTGGTGGACCCTGACCTCCTCTAGGGGAATCCTTGCCTGAAGCTGTCTGAGCCAGATGAGGGAAATTCTGGCAAAGAATGAGGTGGAGGTTGCCGCCTTTGCTGCCCATGCTGCTGCCTGGTGTACTTTACGTAAGGAGAGCTCGGATTTTTTATCCTCTGCCCTTAGGGCATCAGAGACATCTCCTGGTAACCTGGAGGATGAAAATAGCGGGACTAGGGAGTCGTCCACCTTAGGCACCTCCAACAGATCTCTCAAGATAGGGACCATATCCACTAACGTGCGCTCTGCTCCCCCCTGGGAAGGTTGGGCGCCCGGGGATTCCCATTGTCCTTGAATATTTTTGAGGAATAGAGGGGGACAGGGGATCTGTTGGCGCCTGACGACCAGTTCCGAAAATAACGATCCTGAGTAGAGGAAGGTTCCGGGGTGGGGATAGGTTCTGGGCCTATCTTACCCGCTGCACATGCCCTGCGAAGTAGAGATGGGAAGAGTGTAGAGTTAAAGAGCTCTACCATGGGATGAGGCTCTTGTGAAGGCTCCTCGCAATCCGACCATTGATCTCCAGTACAGTCATAATCAGAAGAGCTGGGAGTGTTGCTTCCCGGGGAATGAGGAGGGGAGATCGAATCTGAACGATCGCACCCTGTAGGTTGTGTTGAGACAGCTGGAACTGATGAAGGTCTCGGAATGGGTGAAGACTGTTGATGTCCAGAGGAAGCCATCACTTGAAGAACTGCCTGCGATATCATGGCCTGCAGCTAATCAGCAAACGAGGGGTCCTATGAAGGGCAAAGCCCTGCTGCTGTCGGGGTAAAAGTTGCTGCAGGTTCCATGGAGGGGCACTATGGCACAAGTTCCTCCTCAAAAAGGGGTGGGCCTTCCTGACCAAAGGTCTGCATAGAGACCTGCTCAGGCTCCCGCTCCAGGGACCACGCCCGTGTTGGAGCAAGAAATTGCGAGTCAATGGCGGTAGCCGCAAATGGGGGAAGTGGTGATTTGCCCACCTCCCCTGCTGCCAGTCTTTGTGCCCGGGAGAACTGCTTCTCCAAGGCCCCATGTGAGCGACTGGCCTGCTTGTCAGCAGACTTACTTGGTCTTTTGCCGGATTTAGACTTAGATTTGGCCTTTACCTTAGCCGCGGCTTCTTGGCAAGGGGATTTGCATTTAGGTTGCCTGATTGAAACAGAAGCCTGTGGCTCAGTGTTGTCTGCCATGATGAATTGAGAAGGTTCCAGTGGAACACTGGAAACAATCTCGGTCGGCAAGAGAACCGCCAGTTGTCTACCGCGATGGGACTGACGTGCATGTGGATCAGCGTAGTCCAGCCCACCAGCAAAACCGGAATCACGCTGGGCGCATGGGAGCACACGTCACTGAATGAGGAGCCAAAGTCAGTACTGTCCGTATAGCACAGGCTGATAACCAGGTGAAATTAAGGCACAGTGACAAGATCTCACGTGTCTCACATAGTGGCAATGGTCAGGATCTAGCGAACAACCACTAGATGCAGAGTAGCAGACCAGCTAAGGTGAAGGAGTTCTAAGCGGCAAAAGAACTGGTATAATGAGCTGTTGAAGAAGGGAATGTGATGTTGCTGAGAGGCTAACAAATAGAAAGGACCTACATCTGTGGACACCTAAAATGGAGACCCTGTAATTTGGGGTCTGCCTGGTCAATTTTCAGGTGCCTGCTGGGACCTAATAAGTATGGATAGGCCTGTGAGGGTTGGGGCTGTCGCGCGGAAACCAAAATGGCATCCGCAACGAGCAAGGGAAATAAGCTGTCCTGCGAGACTGCCCAAAATGGCGCCGGCAACTAGTGATTCTAGGGAGACTGGCAACGTTCCTCTGACTACTGTAGTGAAACTGCCGTTTGATGACCGGGCGAGAGGTGCGCCAACCTCAGCCTCTCCCAAAACCACCAAATCCTCAAGGAAGAGCCTCCCTGCTGTCCCACAAAGGACTGTTTCGCGGCGCCTTAAAATGGCGGCCGCGCTGCCGGGATGAAGGAGTTTGGTGGGGGAGCGCGAATCTGAGGCAATTGGATCACCTGCCTCAGATCGCGGAGAGAGACGCCCGAAGAAGTCCCTCTCACTCGGCTCAACAAAATAACTTATCCTCTGTCCCTTAGGTGAGATCTTCAAGGAAATACCTCACGGCCCGCATCGAACAGCTGAGAGGCACGGCAGCCGCAGCGCCTTCCAACAGCAGCGGGGACTCCGCGGACAAGACAGCCGACAGAAAACAAAGGGTACTGTCAGGTGAGAATTTTCTAAAAGATCGAGACAGCGGCAGCGCACACTTGAAAACCGCGCTGATTCCAGGCCTGCCAGCTGTAGCTGGGTTGTAATGAGGCAAAAAGTTCCACCAAGGAGCTTGACAGTTGAGCGGCCCCAAAATGGCATCTGCAAGATAAGCTGAGCTCCTGACAGAAGGGAAAAGCCCCAGATGACAGAGGCCAGAATCCCGATAGCAGGGATGATCAGAGGCTATGCAGCCTCTAACCTTCCTACCAAGGAGAATCCACTAATGGGTTAGAGAAAGGGAAAAAAAATTTTTTTCATCTAAGTCAAACCTGCCAGAAGAAGGAATTTGGGAGTGGAACAGACTAAGTCAAAACTGGGAGGTACCAGACCAGGACGGGCGTGACAACTTTGACTGACTTAGTCTGATTGGGCAGGAGGACTGAATTAACCCATTGGTGGATTCTCCATCCATCATGCTGGAGAAAAAATGAAACAATTCCAATTCTTTAAAAAAAAGATTCATATCTACATGTCCTATTCTTTCAGTTTTAATCCTTCGTTTTCATCACTTTCTATTGTCTTTTCTTCTGCTCTTTCCTCTCTCTGCTGCCATTGTCCATCTGCCATTTAATTTAATTCGAAGATAGTATCTTTATCTTTTCTACTATGGCTACCATAAATGGAAAGACTCTAAAGATTTTTAAAAAGCAATATTAAATCCAAAATTTGGAGGAAAAAAGAATTTATATAAAATCCAGATATTTGAACACATACACTTGCATTTATCAAGCTTGCCAATATTATTCAATAGTTCTATCTCCAATAAAATAAGTCATGACAGAAATCTTCAAATAAGTTATGCAAAGACAATCCTAAAACCCATGAGAATTGTGCATATTTTTTCATATTGCAGGACAGCATCTACAATAGCAATAATTTTATAATTTTATTGTATCTTTCTCCCTTGCCCAACTCTGATTAGCCTATATACAAATGAAAATTTAGGATCCAAGTCTGAGTTTATATGTATAACTTAAAAACAAAATTGGTCACTCACGATTTATGTGGTCCATGTAATAAACACCAATCTGTTGATCATAAACAGTTTCCCATCCTAAAGGTAGTTCATCACCAACACAATCAGCAAAAGTTAATGGCTTGGTAATCCTATAAATATTATAAAAAAACAAAAACAGTTCAAACATGCTGCATTTAATTATCATTATGGATGACTATAATATAACTTTGATAAATTATGATTAAGGACATCACTTTTTAATGCCAAAACTTTTAACATAGGACAAAGAAAATCAATCTCAAATAGGAAGAAATTTTAAAATGCACTGAAAGACAAGAATTAAACGGATCAATATTTACATTTTTATTCTCACCACCCACTGGAGTAAAAAATGGGAGAGATCAGAATCCTACACCACCGAGCTGAAAGTCTGCCTACCAGCAAAGATGGGAAAGAAAAAGAACTAAAACACATCACGGAAGCCCTCAGAACGTGTGGTTATCCCAACTGGACCTTCATCAAATCCCCCAAAAGACCCAGCAGGAGCTCTTCCATAACAGACAAAGAAGAAAACAATAAACAAAGCAATATTGTCATTCCATATGTTGCAGGAATATCAGAAAAGCTCAGGAGGATCTTCAGTCAACACAACGTAAGTGCACACTTTAAACCAACAACTATACTAAGGCAAAAGCTTGTCCACCCCAAGGATAAAACACCCACACACAAATTGAACAACGTGGTATATGCAGTATAATGCAGTGAGCTATGTGCAGATCTGTACATTGGGGAAACAAAACAACCAGTTCATAAACGCATGGCACAACATAGGGCATACCTTCATTATGTTCTCTGATGAACACAAATACAAACATATATACTCGGCTTCCTTAAATCCAATCAAAACAGACCATTAAACCAACACTGTCAATTTATTGTGGGAAGTCAGAGCCCCCCAGAGAAGGAAATATTAAAAGGGCAGAAAAATATATTTTTCCTCAAAAGGATTTTTAAAAGCAGAAACCAACCCTGGCCCCAAATCTCTCTGTCCCCAAGCAGTAGCCAGCCCTATACAAATGCAAATGTAAAACTATCAGGAAAGCTGGAGCCAGAAGACAAAGACCTAAAATCTGATACCTCACCCAAACTCTGTCATTAGCCCAGCCCCAGGGAAGCAGGATATGACTTTTGGGACATAATAGGACTAACCCATTACTATCAAGTATACCAGAGAGGCACACCTAAACTCAGGTCAGAATATGTGACACAGGAAATAGCCTCAAAGTTCATGCCACAGGAACAGGAAACTATTCCAAACAAAAGGCTAGAGAGGGTATAAAAACCTACTGCCCATGTGCTCAGTCCTTCTTTCCTCTGGTCTTTCCTGCAAGAACCATCTTTCTGCCTCTTCAATAAACTGTAACCTTCTTCCCAAAGCAGTCGCCATGTTGCTTATTTATTCCCAGCTTGGATGAACCAGGATGAAGACTTTACTTCCAACAATTCGGCAACCCAGATGGGACTCCAAGCTAACCTCTCCAATGGACTGAGACTGGTAAGCCCCATCTTGCCGGCAGCAGACCCTTTGTGTCTGTAGATGGGTTTCCCAGGCCTTGCCCATGTGGAGCCAGGGTAGTAAAGGGAGTTTTTGGGTTTGAGCTCAAGGACTGCTTTGGAAAGAAGGGGCGTTGTCTTACCTGAACGCCTTTTCTCAGCAAAGAGGAATGTAGAATCCACGGATGGGTGTTATTTGTCCTCTAGCCCAATCAGACCAAAACAATCAAAGTAGCCACGCCCCTTCAGGGTCTGACCATGCCCCAGTTTCGAAAAGGGCGAAGCCAGTGATTGTTCTGTACGACGTGATGGCTCCCGAAAAATTGACACTGACCTGACTGCTAACGGAATAGGGAGGGAATGAATTCTACATTCCTCTTTGCTGAGAAAAGGCGTTCAGGTAAGACAACGCCCCTTCTCCAGCAAATGGAGGAATGTAGACTCCACGGATGGGACATACCAAAGCCCTTATGGTCCCATGGGAGGGATGCAGGCCGGTTAAGTGTCATCATTAAATTGAACCACCTGCTGCAAAACCCGGCGGCCGAACGCGGCCTCAGCAGATGCAAACTTATCGAGCTTCTAGTGCCGAATGAAAGGTGAGGGAGATGACCAGGTCGCCGCCCTACATATGTCAGATATGGTAGCCTGAGTCTGCCAAGCCGCTGATGTGGAAGCGCTACGAGTAGAGTGGGCTGTTAGTCGACCTGGGACTGGTAAGGAATAGACCCGGTAAGCCTGAGCTATACAGGCCTTGATCCACCTGGCGATCGTAGAAGAGGTAACTTTCTGTCCCTTGGAGCCTAGACGGAAAGACACAAACAGCGCCTCCGATTTGCGAAAGGGGGCCGCTCTTTTAAGATAATGGCGCAGTGCTCTGCGCACATCAAAGGAGTGCCACTTGCGCTCAAGGGGACAAGAAGGATTTGGACAAAAATCCGGCAATATAATTTCCTGGGCCCGGTGAAATAGTGAATTCACCTTCGGAATGAATAAAGCGCGGCCAGTTCGGAAACACGCCTCACCGACGTGACTGCCACCAGAAAGGCCACTTTATAGGATAAAAGATGAAGTGGACAAGACCCGAGAGGTTCAAAAGGGGATCTTGTAAGGGCCTGTAGGACTCGAGGCAACTCCCAGGAAGGATACCGATGCACCACAGGAGGCCTGGTATTGGTTACGCCCTTGATAAAGGATCGGACCGCTGGGTGATGGGATAGCGGCGTATTCCAAAACTGCCGGAATAGTGACAGAAGAGATAAACTTTTGTTGGCACACCAGTCACAAAAATTCTTCCAAGTGGCATCGTAGATCCGGTTTGTCGCCGGCCGCCTTGAAGCCTGGATCATAGTAATTACTCTTGAAGAGTAAGATCCCTGCATTAGGAATTGGCGTTCAGATGCCATACGGCCAGTTGGAGCCACTGTGGATCCGGATGCCGTACGGCTCCCTGTGTTAGGACTATCCGCTCTGGAGGAATTTTCCACGGAGGAGCTACGGCGAGATTCACAAGATCCGCGAACCATGGTCGCCTCGGCCAGTGTGGGGCCACAAAAATCAGCTCCGCTTGTTCCTGCAACAGCTTCCTGATGACGGCCAGGATCAAGGGAAGAGGAGGGAATGCGTATAGGAGACTCCTCGGCCAAGGAGTGCGAAGGGCATCCGCTCCCTCCGAACCCTGAGAAGGGTATCGAGACAGAAACTGGGGAAGCTGGGCGTTCACCGGGGAAGCGAACAGGTCGACAGTAGGTCGTCCAAACCGGTGAGTGATCTCTCGAAAGAGACGGGGATGCAAACGCCACTCTGTGTGGTCTACTATAGACCGACTCAAGAAATCCGCCTGGCGGTTCTCCACCCCCGAAATGTGTTCCGCTTTGAGGGACAGAAGATTTCTCTCCGCCCACGCCCCCAGTAATTGTGCCTCCGACATTAGGGCCCGAGATCGAGTTCCGCCCTGCCTGTTGATGTGGGCCTTTGCCGCCACGTTGTCCGTTAGGACTAGCACATGGCGGCCTTCCACTATCTTGTGGAAATGGCGAAGTGCCAGGTGTATGGCCCTTAGTTCCAGCCAATTTATGTTCTGTTTGAGATCCCTTTTGGACCACTGACCTTGCGCTAAGTGATGTTGTAGATGCGCCCCCCATCCGAATAAGCTGGCGTCCGTTGTCAAGGTTATGCGAACTGGTTCCCTGAACATTGATCCTTTGTCCAAAGCCGGGGATAGCCACCAGAGAAGGGAAGGGTCTGAACTGGGACCTGTACCCTCTGGGGGAAGCAGGCTTCTCCCCGCCTCTGATAAGGGAGCAGAAACCACTGGAGTTGTCTCGTGTGGAGTCTGGCCCAGGGCACTATAGCGATGCAGGAAATTAATTTTCCCAACAGCTGCGAAGGAAGGAGCAGGGTCACCCGCTTTTCCCTGCGAACCTTGGATACCAACTTGCGTATGCTGGTCCGACGCTCTTGGGACAGAAAAACTTGACCCAGGTTGGTATCGATTATTGCGCCCAAGTGCAATAGCCGGTTGGTTGGGGATAGGTGACTCTTTTGAAAATTGATCAGGAACCCATGATCCTGGAGTGTTCTGATCGTTAGCTTGACGTCCAAGCAAGCATTCAGTGCCGAGGACGATTGAATTAGAATATCGTCCAAGTAACACTGGAGGCGTACCGGAACTAATCTCAGCTGTGTGGCAAGGACTGTCAGGATTTTCGTAAAAACTCTGGGGGCTGATGACAGGCCGAATGGTAAGGCCTTGTATTGATAATGGCGATTCACATACGTGAATCTGAGATATCGCCTGTGAGCCGGATTTATGGGGATGTGGAGGTAAGCTTCTGACAAGTCTATGGATGTGAGGAAATCCCCCGGTCGAATGCTGCCTAGAATCGAATGGAGGGTTTGCATCTTGAATTTTTGGTACACCAGGAATGAGTTGAGGGTCTTGAGATCGAGTATTGTCCTCCATCCCCCTGAAGTCTTGGGACCTACGAAGAGGATGGAGTAGAACCCGAGACCTCTTTGATCTGGTGGTACCTGTTCTATTGCTTCTATGGTGAGTAAATGTTGAATGGCCTCTCTCATGAGACCTTGTTTTACTGGATTCCGTGATAGGGGGCAGGCTATGAAGTGCCGTGGGGGAGGAGCTAGGAATTCTAGAGATAGACCATCTCCGATGGTGGTGAGAAACCAGCTGTCTGTGGTGGTACTTTCCCATTTGTGGAAGTATTTTGTCAGCCTTCCTCCGATGGGAGGAGTCCACCCCAAGACACTTAGTCTTTCGGAAGGGACGACCTCCCCTGCCACAGAAAGGTCGCTTACCCTGGAATTTTGGCTTTGGCCTGTCCCTGTAGCCGGACCGGTCCGAGGAGCGGTCCGGCCCTGCTTGAAAAAGCCGATACCCACTCCAGGAATTTTTGTCTAAGCTGGACCTAAATGACGGGCGTCGATTGTATGGAGTAAAACGTCTGCCCGTCCTTTTAGAAAGGTGAGAAAGTACCTTCTTTTTCTCCTTGTTTTCAATTAAATAAGAAGAGAGTGCCTTGCCAAAGAAGCGACCACTCTGATACGGAGCAGCTGCTACCCGCCATTTATGCTTGGTGTCGGCCCTCCAATTTTTTAACCAGAACAACCTACGTGCAGCTACGTTGGAGGCTATGGCTCTGGCCGAATAAGTGGCCGATTGCAGGGACACGTCCGCCATATATTCCAGAGCAGCTTTCAACTTAGTGACATCCTGATGTACCCTCAACTCATCTGGGGAAATCCTGGCCTGAAGCTCTTGGAGCCAAATCAAGGAGATTCTGGCGAAAAAAGAAATAGAAGTTGAAGCTCTTATCGCCAATGCCGACGCCTGGTGAGTTCTACGCAAGGAAATCTCAGATTTCTTGTCCTCAGCCTTAAGGGCCTCAGACATATCCCCTGGGATCTTATTTTTCTGATAGAATGGGGGAGACTCACCCACTCCCGGGACCTCTAAAACCTCGTTGAGGGAAGGGACCGTATCCAAGAGTTTACGGTCTATACCCCCAAGAGCTGAGAAGGTACCAAGGGATCCCCATTGTTCTTGAATGAATTGAAGAAACATGGGGGGACAAGGAATCTGTTGGTTCTTTGTGACAGGTTTCTGGAACAGTGGATCAGAGCCCTGTGCAGAGTCCTGATCGGTTGTTTTTTGGGGCTTCACCGGTTCCATCTTCCCGGAGACGCAGGCCTTGCGCAAGAGGGAAGAAAAAAAGAGTCGGATTAAAGACCCCAATCAGAGGAGTAGCCTCTGTATGTGCGTCCTCATCATCTGACCACAGGCCCTCCTCGAGGACCCGCTCGGAATATTCTGAGATCACACTTCCTTCAGATCGTAGTGGAGAGGCCGGATCTGGGGGCTCATAATTCCTAGGATGTGTAGTTCCCCCAGATATGGAAGGGTAAGAAGTCCCTGAGACCAGAGGGGTCCTCCCTGAAGATGCCATTGCCTGAGCCACCGCCTGAGAAATCATGGTCTGAAGCTGGGCAGTGAAAGATGGATGCTCCGGGGACCGGAGACCCGTCGCCGTCGGGGTGAATGATGCCGACGGAATCTGAGGGGGGGCCACAAAGGAAGGTTCACCCTGGTTGACACAAGCTATTGGGACAGGCCCGGATCGGTGGTCGGAACTGAGTCCTGGATTTGCATCCTCAGACCTTGGTCAAGTAGGGACAGATGATCCCTACTGAATCCAGGCGAGGGATCGAGAGTGTGCTCTGGGGACCAAGCCCGTGGAAGTGGAGAAGGTCGTAGCCCCTCAGATGTGGATGCAATGGGGAGGGAATTGGGAACCGGTTGTACCTGTTGTGCGTTGTTGGCTCTGGAAAATTGTCGTTCCAACGCTCTATGTCTGCTGTCTGCCTGCTTCTCTGCCGTCTTAGAGGTCCGTTTGACCTTGGCCTTGGCTTTTGATGGTGCTTCCTGGTTGGGCGACTTGCGTTTTGCATTTCCACCAGAGGTGGAAGCCTGTGGAACGGTGTTATCCGCCATGGTACACTAACAAGGAGATAACAGGCGCTCACCAGGAGATCCCTGGATCCGTCCTGATCTGCAGTACACTAACAAGGAGATAACAGGCGCTCACCAGGAGATCCCTGGATCCGTCCTGATCTGCAGGAGACAAGGCTACGGCCCACCAAGATGGGACAGGCCTGCACGAGGGTCTGTGAGGTCCGGCCCACCGACAAGCGCGGAGTCACACCACGCGATATAAGCCGCGTTCAGCCCTTGGGAGCTGTCCTGTTCCCTAATCAATTAAGGATTGATGGTTTGTATGATCAATAATGATCTATTAATTTAATTGAATTTTTTTTAAAAAATAATTTTTAATATTTTTTTATATATATATATATAGGGGACCCTCGTGCCTCACTTAGTGGCGACCCTTAGGACAGCAACTGGCCAGCCACCAGATGCAGACAGCGGAACAGGCAAGCAAGTCACAGTTAATTCACTGAATGAATAAGACCAGCAGGCAGAATATAAAAAGGCTGAAGAGTATGATGAATAAAGTAAAATTCTCTGAAGGAGGTATTGCCTCAAGGAACTCTCCCTGCCAGCCACGAGGCTGATTAAAATGGCGTCTGCCCAGAGGTGGGGGGGGAGGAGAATGGCCAGAAGCCAAGGGGCCTGATCCAACAGGGGGGAATAGGATCCCCTATACCCCCGCGTAAAGTTGTTTCTCTCTCAAATGATCAGAGGATGCCCTTGTACAATTGAACAAATTGGCAATGAAAATTAGTAAGGAGTGTGATCGCGCAGAGGCCCAAAATGGCGGCCGCGACGATCCGAAGCTATAAATATGCTGTTTGCTTCTGACGAAGTGAAATAGGAGCCCCTATGTTCCCCTAAGTCAGACTCTCTTTTAAGTGTAAGTAAAGAGAGAGAGGAAGCCCTTCGTCCAGTAGTGTAGATTTTGTCTAATTTTGAGTTGCGATCGTGCGGAGGCCTCCAAAATGGCGGCCGCGCCGATCCGAGGTGAAATGAAACTTTTTTTTTTTTTAATGTTCTCCTTAGGTAGAAAGAAACCTGGAGAGTGACTTCGATTCAAGGAAAGAAGACAGAAAACGGTAAGAAGGCTTTGGGCAAAGAGATGAAATTAGGTACTGAGCCCAAAGAAAGGCAAAAAAAGGGGGGGGAGGAGGAATGGAGATCGCCACGCTGCACAGGGCAGCGTTTGAAGACGATCAGCTAGATGTCGGCAGGGGCTTGCCTAGTCCTTACAGCTCTGAATAGGGCTGAAGTACTTTCCTCCCACCAGGAATAGGAAAAGAGTCCACAGATGGAAAATCTTACTACCTGAGTTCTGAGAGCTAATCGGGAGCCAAATTTCACGTCTCTTCAGGGCTGAGACCAAAAGAAACTGGGGCATGGTCAGACCCTGAAGGGGCGTGGCTACTTTGATTGTTTTGGTCTGATTGGGCTAGAGGACAAATAACACCCATCCGTGGAGTCTACATTCCTCCATTTGCTGGAGAAGGTGAAGGTGAGTACCTCTAAATTTTAAGTTTAAAGCCCAGGGGAACAAAGGAAATGTGTGTATGTCTGTGTGTGTGAGTGAGAAGACCCTTTTTTCCCAATCACAGTTGGATTTTGCTCCTTCTGGTCTTTCCTAGCCACAGAAAGGATCTGTTTAATTGGCAGAACCTGGAAAGCATGGGGGTTTGCCCAGAGTGTAGGACCTTTTGTTAGGGAAAAGGGAGAGGTGTGTGAAAATGGAATGGAATGAGTGAATGAGAGAATTGGGTTTGGGCAACCAGCTGGTAAGGCCCTGTAAAGCTCACCTACTGGAAGTGCCCGTACTCAAGTGCAAAAAAAAAGCACAGGTCTTCCCAGACTTCTAAGTCTGAAAACTGATAGGCGGTGTATAAACGGAGGCCAGGTACCTGTGTGGCAGGTCCTCCTCGGACAATTTATTTTTGAGGTCCACAAAGCCACGGGAATCCCTAAACTGGAAGGGCCACTTACTCTGCATAGGGACTGGAGTCTTTCCTGGGCAATTTTTTAGTGCCCAAAAACTGAGGCGGGGCGGCAGGTTTGTTGTCGCTAAAGCGGCTGGGAAGTGCTGCTAGGGAAAGAAACCCGACTGAGCCAGTTTGGACTCCACATCGAAAGGGGAACATGGGTAGCTGCAGTTCGAGGGTTGGAATTAGGACACTTATTGGAGATTTGCTCGAGGTGTGGGACAAGAGGCTGAGTGCCTGTCCTGGATGGTAAGAAAAAGAAAAAGCGAGCAAGACAAATTTGTGAAAATGGGCTTTGCTGGGAAACCAATTTGGCTAAATAAAGGTACTTAAAAGGGAAAATAAGAAATAGTGATTCTCTCTCTCTCTATCTCTCTTCTCTATGCAACCACGTGGTATGTTTAAAATGTGTGCCTTCCCTAACTTGAGTTATCTGAAATTTATGGTGGGAATGACTAGGATATGTAAAACTAAGACATCTGTTTCCTTTTCTGTTTGCCTTGTCTTTGTGTATATGTTTCTCAAAGTCTTTGTGTGTGAGGTAAATGTGACTGTTAACAGTTTCAAATCCAAAGAGAAAAGAATTTTAAAATTCTGCTAGAAAATCTCTTAAAATAAGCCACAAAAAGGAAATACCTAGCCAACAAACAGAGTGAAGAAAAATGTGTTTGTTTGTTTGTTTTTTTCCTCTTTCTCTCTGTGTACTCTTAAGAACAGCCCAAAGTTAGCAGGAGGGAATGTTTTCAGTTCATCTGCTAGAAAGGTTTCACTCTTGCATTTAATAATATATAATAAAGTTGGAAGGGACCTTGGAGGTCATTTTGTCCAACCGCCTCCTCAGGCAGGAAACCCTATACGAACTTTATCAAATGCCTTACTGAAGTCCCAAAAAATTATATCCACAGCATTCCTCTGGTCCACTAATTTTGTAACTGGGTCAAAGAATGCAGTAAGATGTGTCTAGCATGATCTGTTTTTGACAAACCCATGTTGGCTTTTAGTAATGACTTTGTTTGCCTCTAGGTGTTCGCTGATTCTTGTTTGATTATCTTTTCCAGAATCTTCCCAGGTATTGAGGTCAGGCTGATGGGTCAGTAGTTTTCTGGATCTATTCTTTTTTTCTTTTCTTTTTTGAAGAGGGGAACTACATCAGCTCTTTTCCAGTCCTCTGGTAGTTCCCCAGTGCTCCAGGATCTTTGAAAAATATAGTTCAGTGGTTCTGAGATCACATCTGCCAGTTTCTTGGGAACCTTGGGGTGTAATCCATCTGGTCCTAGTGATTTGAACTTGTCTAGGGGGGATAGGTGCTCACTTACCATTTTCTTGCCTATCTTAACTTGTGTTTCTAATCTATTTTTTATGGTACTGTTTTTGATAAGTTGGACTGTTTGTTTTTTTATGATTTTTGACTTTGATCACAAGCCTTAGTTCATTTTGAGCCTTAGCTTTCTTCACCTCATATTTGCAGGCTCAGACTATTTGCTAATATTCTGCTTTAGTTATGTGCCCCTCTTTCCACTTTTTATACTTGTCCCTCTTATCTTTCAATTTATCAGAGAGTTCTTTATGCAGCCATGCTGGTTTCTTGTGAGAACTACTATTTTTCTTCTTTGTTGGTATTGTGCTAGACTGGGTTATGGTTTTTTTTAAAAAAAATTTTCCCAAGCTTCTTGTTTTCCTCTTGAGCAGTGGTTCTCAACCTCCCTAATGCCGCGACCCTTTAATACAGTTCCTCATGTTGTGGTGACCCCCAACCATAAAATTATTTTCATTGCTACTTCATAACTGTAATTTTGCTACTGTTATGAATCGTAATGTAAATATCTGATATGCAGGATGTATTTTCATTGTTACAAATTATACTGTTATAATTTCAGTATAATAGTTATACTGAAGGTCTGTGTTTACAGTAGCTGAAGCAGATTGGATTAAAACAGAATGGCTGCATTTGTGCAATTTATAAAGCTTGATTACTTTAAACTTGATGTCAATGTTGCTTTTTTGTGTGCAGTCTTAGTGAATTATGGAAATATAGCCCCTTTATTCTTCTAGTATTATGTGATTCAGAAAATGGGTCATTTCAGCTGGTCCAGCCAAGGTTGCCTACCCCTGAGCTAGTCAGTGGTTCCTCTTCTTTTCTCCCCCCAGCTCCCCATCCCAGCTCAGTCAGCAGCTCAGTTCTGAGGCTGTGCCTACCAGAATCTTAGGAGAGATTTTTGGAAGGTCTTGTCCACTGAGGCAGAGGCAGCAGAAGGGAAATCCATTCCTTCCTCCCACCCCACTGCTGGTTCCACTGAGCAATAATCAACTGCTTTTGGTGCAGCAGCCAGGGCAGGAAGAATGGGGGGGCATTACTGCAGCAACTGCAAAAAAAGGCCCCTTGGAGCTTCTTGATTCTACACTAGGAGCAGATTCATTTTGCCCCCCCCTTCCCGGCTTTCCAGAGGCACACTAGGAAACAGAGAAAAGGCAGGCAGGAGGGGAAAGGGAAACACATGCTGCAGACCAAAACATCCACTCAAAGCAGCGTTCATCTCCAAAGCCCCCCCCCCTTGATCTCTTCCCTTTTCACTGCCTGGCCAATTTTCCTTCTCCCACCTGTAATGAAATGGCGCTCCCTTCCCCTGCGTCCCACAAGTAGGAAGCCATCAAGGGGGGGGAGGAAGAGGGATTGAGCAGCAGAAATCAAAAAGTACGTGCTGTCTTACGGAGGGCTGCAGGGATCACAGAGGAGAGGAGGGGGGGAAATCAGCTGCCGTGGGAAGAGAGGAAAAAGCTCTGAGCGAGCAAAGTTGTCTTTAGCCAGTTTTCCTTCTCCCACCTGTAATGAAATGGCGCTCCCTTCCCCTGCATCCCACAA